GAAAATTAATTTTATGTTAGCTTATATTCTAATTTAGCGGTAAACCAGATGTTTCTCATAGAAAAATAAAAAAACTATGTGAATTTTCGCTGTAATTTTTCAGATTGGATCCATTCTTTTATATATTTAAATTTATTCTTTTTTTTCGATTTNATTTAAAATATATATTTTAAGTATTTTAATTAACCGAAAAATACCAAATTTCTTATATAATAAACTACCTTAAGTAACATTCTTTTATCTCCTTTTTCTTCCACGCGGCCTATTGTATCATCTTGTATAGACTCATTTTTACATGCAAAATATCAATACATTCTAGTTTTTCTTCTATACACTATCACTTTTATTTAAAAAAAAAAAGAAAGAAATTTCATTGGATCTTTAGCTCCTATTGTCGCATAAACAATGCATTTTTTTTTATTTTGAAAAATATATTGTAAGTCATTAACAATAATAGCTTTGTATCATCTTTCTATTATTTTTATCTCCATCTTTACGTATTTTATCAAGATTAATTATATAAACACGCTAATATCAGGTTAATATATAAATGCGTATGCGTGTATATATATTATTATAAATTACTGTAAAAAAAATTAACAGAATTTCAATGTAATTGCTATTAAATTATGGAAATTTGTTTTTAATTTAAAAGAAAAAAATTGTCGAAAAAAGTATAGATTCACTCGTTGACCAAAAAATTAAGTCACGCATCAAAATAGAATTGCCCAATTACTGAAAAACTCGACATACAGTTATATCTTATATTCAGATAAGTGTATATATAATTAAAGTTATGGCCCGATTATATACCAGGTGATGCCTCAATTGCAGAATCTTATAAAAGGCTCGCTGTGTTCACAATTTTCAATGTACCTGTTGTTTGGGGGATCTTCGAACGCCAGTCATGTGACTGTATGACGCAGTCAAAGACATTACGCACGGCTGACGGAGTTTGAGAAGAGCCGCATCATCGAGCTGATAGTAGCAGGATAACCGTTTCTCCGAATTGTCTGCCATCTGTGTCGTTCTAACCTGACCATAAGCAGGTGTTGGGGGCAATGAATACATGAGGGCAAACATACACAAGGGAAAGGTCTGGACGCCGCAGACAAATCACCAAGAGAGATGATGGTCTGATCGTGAGACAAGCACGAACAGCTGCAACAGCATTTTTGTCCACCCTTCTGAGACAGGTAGAAACCTCATTATAAAACCCTGTCTTTCAATATCATTGGCAGGAGATTATCGGAGGCAAATTTACATGCACGGACACCACTAGGCGTTCCGCTATTAGCACCTAAACATTATCGACTTTATTTGCAGTGGTACCATGACAGAAAAGCACGTACTGTAACGGGCTAGCAACGAATCCCAGTTGTTTAGGAAAGTACGGCCACCGTATTAGAGTATGGACTGCCATTGGTGAACGCTTCAATCTTGCCTTTACTGTTGAGCAGCACACTATTCACTCTGTGTGCTGGTCTGGGGAATCATCTCCTACGACAGCCGGCCACCGCTAGCAGTGATGAGAGAGACAACGACGGCACAGCGGTTTGTTCAGGAAATCCTGCGCTCTCACGTGTTGTTTTCAATAGCAGAGCTGCAAACAGCCATTTTCCAGTAACGTAACGTTCGGCCCCACACAGCTAGAGTTTACCAAACATGTCTCCCTTCCCGTTCTCCAGACTTATTGTCCATGAAGCATTTGTAGGACTGCATTGTATGTTATCTACGAGTGAAGACGTGAAGCAGCATTTGCACATCTGTAGGCAAATCTGTCGCCTGCATACCTCATGCCCGACCGTATGTATCTAAGCAAGAGGAGGCTCAACAAGGTATTAAAGGTTCCTTTAAATTGTACCGTTGTTGCACAGACATTGACTCACACCCCACGATATTGTAATCACTAATAAAGTTTCATTCTTGGTGCGTAAATTTTTATCAATGAGTGCAAAATAATAATAACATAAATCAGTGAAGAGATTTTTTTTAATTTTATAACAAACCATCGATTTAAATTGATTAAAAAATATTCGAAATTAACAAAACATAGTTTAAAAAGAAGAAAGAAAGATCGGAAGAGAAATAATTATAAAGTTTTTTTTTGGAGACGGTTTCATTTTCTTCTGCACTACATTCCTCTTGTCGCGATGTCAATGTTGATAGCAGTAGATGCGTAACGTTCATTCCGTTCTATCTCCGTAACATTTTCAGAATCAATAAGCTAGGAAGAATGTGGGATCGAAGTGATCATCGACTTCCATTATGAGAGCAGTAAGCGATTTCGACCGAGAAACGAAACTGCTTAAAACGACCAAATTATGCGGTAAATCATGACGTTAACGATGGCATAGTTTCGGAGAAACCAAGTAAAAATTCCTACTTGGGACATAGTCAATCTGCATATCAAGTATTTTCTTCGATTGATGATATATCCTTGACTAGATCAGACTTTTTCTCTTAATATCCATTCCCATGCTACTTTATCTCTTTAGATAACAGAGTTCAATCTGATTAAAATGTTTTCTTAATATTTAAATAATTAAAATTTTTACTTATATCTTTTATTCTATTAACTTTAAAAAGTTTAAAATTTATACTAGTTAAATTGTTTTTGAATGTACTGTACTGTACAGTACAGTACGTTCATTTTACAAATTGAATTCGAATGGTTTTCTTTTCTTTTTTTTTTTTAATTCGAATTAAAGAAAATAATTATGTAAATAAATAATGTAATTGAATAAAATTATTTGTAAAAATAAAGATATTTTAATTTGCTCATAAAATATAAACGTTTACAAATTTATAATTTTTACAAAAACAAACTAATTTTATGTAAAATCGGTGAATTATAGACGTTACTTCTTTACTTTTACAGTCGAACTTCGATTTAACGCTATCATTTCTCCCCCCTTCTCGCCTCGAAAATCGAATATAGCGCTAAATTGAAGTACTCAAACGAGAATTATGTATGAGATATGCATGCAAATTTAAGTTTGCTTACTCGAAAGTTACTTGATTTTGTGATGACGACGTTATTTTTAATATAAAAAAAACTAGTACATTTAATTATTTACAGATACCGAAGGGTTCTCTATTTAATATTTATGGGAAAAGATTCGTTTACAAGCATTCATTAGCGATTTATCGAGGGTGATGCTATTCAGGAGGGAGCTATATCAAGGTTTGACTGTATCTACAAGTTAAATTGATTTATATTTAGATTAATCTTCAGTAAAATTCGCTAATTTTCACGAATAAATTACTATCTTTTAACTCGTGTAAGTTAATTTAAGTTCGTATAATTATAATCTATATAATAGCAGGCTACTACTCAGAAATAATTTAATTCGATTAATTCATAAATGAGATACTGTATATACAATTATCAAAAATTTGATTCCATTTGTAGACATTTACAATAACTAGAAACATAATATAAATAGTCTAAAGATTTAAAATTATAATCCTAAAACTACTTAAGAATAACTTAATTAATTATTAAGCTAATCCTTTAACAGGTTGATGTATGGTTGACATAATTACGACATTCGAATGTCAACCTGTCAACGAAAAATACTTCTGCTATAATGTTAATATATTTAAATGTATAGATAGTAAAGTTTTGTAAGCGAATTTTAATAATAAAATTTTATTCAGCTACATAGAAAATTTAATTCAGCATATATTTATCTGACATATTTTGTAAATTTTAAATAATTTATTACTTTGAACTTGTATGAAAACGATTCAAAATGATTTATGAAATGTCCTTCGCATCATTTAGTGTTAAATAGCAACCGGAACTATAGCCTAAAATTATTTTAATCCTTTAAACAGTTCATATGGAAGAGTATGGAACAGTTTATAAGACGAAAGTTAATTTTGTGAAATTATGTTAAAATTTTGTTAAACTATTAAAGGAATGTACAGATGTTCTATTATTTAATTTGATACTTAAAATATTTCAAATTTATTTCAAAATTATTTAATAAATATTTCACAAACTAAATAGTAAATTCTGTTATAATTTATTACACCGGATACATTAAACAATTGATAAATTTTACTTATTAATATTTTAAAAACGAGTTTAAAACAATTTATAAATTTTTAATAATTTAAAAATTAAGAAAATAATCTTAAAAATAATAATATTTTATATTTAATAAATGTATAAATTATGCAAATCTAAAGGATGTAATTATAGGATATAAAATATAAGGAAGTAAAGAAGGAATTTAGAATTTCTCCAAGGAAAAAAATAAAAAAAAAATCAGAGAAGATGCTATAGAACTTTGAAATAATCAATAGCGATTTTAAAACTTCCAGTTGGTGAGACAAATTTAAGCTCTAACTATTTTTTTCTCCCTCTTTCTTCCATCAGTTTTCGTACATACCAGGTGCAAGTAGAGATCAAAAATGATGCTCCAAGTTCTACTGATCATTCAAGAGTGGAGATAATTTTGCCACGTGATTAGAGCAATCAATAGGAAATAAAAATGAAGTGATACTTTTATCCAACATGCAGGTGTTTTAATATGTGATGACAGCATTTTTTTAAACAAGAAAATGATCATCGGATTTAACATCTTTTTTTTTTTCTCCCCTTAACACTGATATAAATTTTAATAATTAAACAATGCGAATACACTGCTATATTATTTTGAATTATTAAAAAGTAAAATCGCAATTTAAAAGAAAAAAAAATAACAGGAAAAAAGCGCAGTTTTAGAGATAAAGAAGATCATGTTTTATTATAATTTGAATATTTGATAATGTAATTTTAAAATATTATTTTTCCTATTTTAATAACAGCGTCATTCTCAGCTTTCATCTTTAATATAAACACCATCTCAAACACAATCGAACTGGCATTTGCAGATTCAGGAAAAGTCTATAATACTAAGAAATTTATTGACGAAACGTTACCTTTCAATACATCGAAATTCCTTGATCCGACGAGTTTTACAGCTCTACCAAAATGTGTGTTTGTGATGTTTACAAAGAAGGGTGGTGGTGACATGCTCGAGAAAGATGTGCTACTGGAAATAAATCTGGCAGATCAGTTTATTAAGAATATAACAATTGACGATAAAGGTGTAAATATTGGATATTCAGATATTTGTGCACGTGTAGGCGAAAAATGTTTTGAAAATCCGATTATCGAAATATTGCCCGAAATTGATAAAATAGTGCAGAGAAAAAAGAAATTGAAGTATCCGTTCGACATAGATTCGCTGACATACTCTTCTCAAATTTATTCTCTCAACTTTGGGGGTGTAACTGAAGATGAAAACGATTTCATTCAGACAGTAAATGCTATGAGATTAGTTTATTTCACTGACGAAAGCGACAAGAAAAAACACAATGTGATAGAAAGATGGCGAACAGAAGTTTACAATCAAATAAGAAATCATCAGTTTAAATATGTTCTGTTTTTCATTGACTACAACTGGTCAATGGAACAACAAAATGTGCAATTAGTAGAAAATATAAAACCGATGATCGGTGCAGTAGTTGCATTTATTTCTGTGTTTACTACAGTTACGTGTATGAGCAATAATTGGGCAAAAAGCAAGCCTTTTCTGGGTGTTGCAAGTGTCGTTTCTGCCGGTCTGGCCGTGGTCACCTCTTTCGGCTTCATGTCGGTTGTCGGTGTACAGAATACCATTTGGAACATTACAATTCCATTTTTAGTTCTCGGTAAGTGATTACTTACACTTTTATTGATACATTTTTCTCTTTTAGACTAAAAATTCTTCAATTAATAAAAGTTTTTTGATGCAGTGACAGAGATCGATGATGCCTTCGTATTATTGGCATGTTGGAGAATATCAAACCCCAAACATAAAGTACACAAACGCATGCAAGAAACATTGGGTGAAGCAGGAGTTTCTATAACGTTAACATCGTTGACTAATCTGTTTTCGTATTGCATTGGAATGACGGCATCTTTTCCTCTTATAAGAATGTTTTGTTATTATTCGGCAACCAGCGTAGTGTTTACATTTTTGTATCAAATAACATTTTTTGCAGGTTGCATGGCATTATCAGGATATAAAGAAGAAAAACAACAACAAGCATTCCGTCTTAATATCCGTAAGATGATTTAAGTTTTTAAATTAAATATATGTTTATATATGTTTACGGTTATTCATAATTTCTATGGCATATGAGATTGTACATGGAAGTATCAACAGACTGTTGGCATAGCATAAAAAGTAATTTTATAGTGTATTGATTATATGATGCATTATTTCGTTTAAGTGTTCTGTAATGTGAAATTATTTGCAGAAACTTAATTTGTGTTGCCAAATTACTATCAAGTAGTTAATTGCAGCTTTATTTTTACGTCACAACTGAGTATGTTGTTAATATTGAATTTTATTAATTTAAGACATTAATTAACATTACGATAATTAACATTTCTTCTGATTAGTTACGTTTAAATAAATTTAAAATTAATATATATGTTATGGACAATGTGATTAATATGGCCATTATTTATAATGCTCGGTC